TGTAGGCTGAGGTGAAAAAGACATACATTATTGCAAGGTGCAAAGAAGGAACGAGCACTGAAGGATGTTCCTTCCCTGGCAGGCCTATACTCCATCAGTCTAGGCTAGATTCATATTTAATCCCTAAGTTTTACAACAGCCAGTCTCACTCAAACTATATAGAATCTGAACAATAGTCATCCTTAGAAACAGCTGTTAGTTTTAAGCAAGACATTTATAGAATTAGAAATGAGAGGACATTCTTGGTTTGAGGATATGCAGACAGTTCACACCTATGGTATGCAAGGGTTTAGGGCATTTTCTCCTCCCAACTATTTCAGATGTCTTAGGGAAAACATCTCATTAAACTCCTATTAGATTGTCACATTTTAACTCCTAAAAAATGCCATGTAAATGAACAAGCCTAATAATCCTAAACAGGTTACCATGTAAGAAGTGGATTACAGAGAAGTAGGCTTCGTTAAACAGAAATTTCATTTAACTGATCAATATGCGTATGTTTTCCTCATCCATGCCTTTATTTGTAAGGGTACAGAATGTACTATTAATTCTCATCATCTGGCTGAAGATGTGGCCAAATCACTTAATACTTTGCCATCATGTGAACCCTGGAAATATATTTGTTTACAGAAATCTAATCTACATCATCTTGCTGGAGTCCAAAGGAGAATAAAAGAGCAACCCATAAAAAAAATTTGTAACAACACTACAGGTTAACTATACCTTATCCTGCGCTGCGTCCTTTGGCCTTGCACTATGTCTCTAAGGAAAAGACAATTATTTATCCAAGAGACAAGCAAAACCACATGCTTTGGCTTGGTCAGTCTGCCAGCACTGGCTTCACATGAATACTTTGTCTCATTGTTTGCTCTTTTAGTAATCCAGCTGTTTCCTAAGACCTTCTTCTGTGCCCCAGTCTGCAATAAAACTCAGCCTGGGCTTCTCATGCATATTGCTTCAACAGTTTGCCGCTCAGGCAAAACACTATTATTTGCTTTAAGCTGTGAACCCCCAGGCAGCATACCAAAATCAGTAAAATCCCATATTGCTTTACAGGCCTTCAGACAGACCCAACACCACAGATTTTCTGCTTTTCTGGTTCTCTTCCACTGGGTTTAGTCTCCTGTTTCATCTCCTGTTAGAGGAGTGAACCTAGTATTAAAACAGGGGCAACTTGCTACAGGCCAGGCAAGGAAGCACTAACCACTCACAGCTAACAATTTATGCACCACTGTGCTAATTTTAGTCTTGGATACAGCCAGGGCAGACAATCCCTAGAGCAGAGATGCTTAGCTCACAGTTAAGGGCAGCATGAGACATATGGTTGCTAAAGCATTCTCCTAGCAGGGAGCTTTACATTTAGGGCTGAGTTGCTACAGCTCCCTCCAAGCCATAACTTTGAGGATTACTCATCCTAGACATGCAAAAGCAGAGAATTTGCCCCCTCATTTAAATAGCTCCTGCAGCCTCTCTGAATCAGCATGCAGTCTCACCCCCACTGGGGTTCTATTTCCAGCACTTCATTCACTTCCAGTAAGGTCTGAACTTACATACTCTGACAGTCACAGGCTAAGAGAAGCATGGAAGAGGCGTGAACGAAATTCAGCAGACAGATAGCTATACTATGCATCTCACTGGGGCAGCTTGGGCATGCAGGTTTGAAGTTCGTGCCACAGACTGTGTTGGTTGTTGATCCTGCACTGAACTGTGAAACAATGACATCTTACTAGCCCGGCTGAGAATTGGAGGCATTTTCGATCAGGATGTGTATCTGAACCAATAACTGCAGCTCCAGCTAATCTTATTCTGAATGTGCTATTTATAGCAGACGGTGGAGGCTGAGAAGTCTTACATCATACAGCAAGGTTGGTAATATAAAGCACTAACACAGCATTAACCATTTCAAGTCACTTTGGATATCTTAAACCACGTAACAGTTTTGCAGTGAGCTACTCAGTGGGCTACATGAGCAGCTATTGCATTTGGTTAATAGACCTTATCCTAGACTCCCTGGAACAGCCTCTAGCTGCTGTTCTGACTCTGGCACCTTTGCTTATTCTGCCCACAAATCCTGCCCAAAGATACCAAGTAGGATGAGTACAGAGCCCCTAGAACAGCATTCATCTTCTCTGGAGATCTGTGCGCACACTGAAGCCTGGATACCTCTACACTTAAAGCAGGGTATTCTAGGTAGCGATACAAAATGGAAAGATCAAAAAACTATTTATAAATTGGGGGTTTGCTGAAGCTCTCAAATGAAATACCTTAATTTAAATAGGAGCTGGACCACTCCCAGATTTCTGATCCAGGAGAAAGCTGGGAGAAACAGAAGAAAGGCAGAGAATGCTCTGCGGATTGAATGTTCCTTTCCAGGCCTGAGAAAGCTCTTCTCATCTTAAGTAGTGGGTTGCAGCTGAACTGCTGCTGACACCCCAACTGTGGCTGGGGTGCTCCATCTTTGACTTTCTTAACTTAGCTGAGATAAGGTGCCTAGGCATGGCTGCAGACAGAACTCTGTAGCCAGGAGCTCTCTCATGTCCTCCCAAAAGCTAGTATCATCAGTATTCACCTGTGAGGAGTTCTGTATTCTCACATGGTTTTGGAACACACAGTTCAAAACTGTTGCAATGCGGCTCTTTGCGGTCTCGGCGCACAAGTACATCCTCCCCAATTTCAGCAAGCAGCAGATCAGGTATTTGAGGTCCTAACAACATGATTCTACTGGGCTCTGTAATAACCAGCAGTACCATCCAGCTGACCTGATGCTGTAGCTCTAGAAAGGGCAGCATCTGGAAAAGCAGAGTTCTTGTTGCTTCCACGCAAAGCAAGCAGAGAGCCAGCCACATTAACTACTCCAATCTACCCTGCAGTTTGACTTGCACAGCTGATTGTGCTGGTTAAGAAACACAAGCAGAACAAAAACAAAGAACCAAGAAGTCCTATGACATGTTAATTTCAAGCTCCTTAGAACCAGTGGAAGAAAAAGATCAATACTGTCTGAATGAAAAAGACCAAGCTTATCGGGAGATAAATACTGTTTTTCCAAGTGTCTAAAAGTGCTTACAAAATATGCCCCAAAACAAAGGATTACAAAAAAGCTTAAGTAATTCAAATAGGGAACAAAGGTCTCTCCTCTGATCTTCTACCAGGTCACAGCATTCAACCACAAGCTGCATTTGACAAATGAGGTCCCAGAGTCCAGGACTTCTGACATGGTGACAAGGAAGCAGGAGACAGCTCTGATGCATGGGTCTTGCACAAGGTAGGAGATGCGAGCGCTCTGCCCTGTTCATGACTAAACCAGCTCCCAGGCTTTGCAATATCATGATTAAGCCCATTCTCCTTTCTGCTGCCTCCGTTTTAAACTCCAGGGACACCAGCTGACTCATTCCTTCTTTCTATCTGAGGTCAGGCAAGATGCATTTTGGAGACTAAGCAAAGCACCACAGATTTCAATCTACTGATCAACAGAACACTAGAAATACCCAACTTCCTGATTAAAAACCAGACCTGTCTAGAAAGAGCAAAATTTATCTTAGCTCCCTGTCAAATGTTGGGAGACTGGAAAGAAGCTGACCAGGATGGAATTGCATTAGCTGGGCTCCAAATATTCCTTCATGTCTACCATCATGAATACTTTCCCTTACTTTTTTTTTTTTAACCCCTCCTGTGCACCACATTTCATCCTTAGCAAGCCTTTCATGCTTGCTTGGGAATCCTGAACAACCTAGGGCACCTAGGGACGTGCCAAAAGCTGAGTGTATGTCAGGAAGATAGGGAGGGAGGAGGTTACGGGTCTGAGAGGCAGATGCAGGCTGGGATATGCTCTGATACGTTCTGCCAAAAGCCTGAGGAGGGCAGAGTAGGGACAGCTGTGCTGGGATGCTGCAGCTGCATCATGAATAGTAGTAAGGTTTGAGCAAACACACTCATCACAGAAATGGATGTCTGCTCCCGTCCTGCTGCTTGCAGTTGAGAACTTTAAGCAGTGGACAGTTTGGCCCTTCCCAGACTCTGTTCACCTCCCACTGAGGGCATCCACACCACTGAAATGCTACACAAAGTAAAAAGAATACCCCATTAGAGGGACTGGCAGCTGTGCCATGAAGCACTTCATTCACGACAGCTGGTGACCTGCAGAGGTTACGGCAAGGATGCAGTTGTTTCTTGGTGGCAGTCCCTGCCACCATCACAGAAAAGCCTGTCTTAGCTCAGGCCAGCCCACATCTCCTGGAACCCAGGGTGCAGCAGCAATGTCAAGACAAGATGCACAGCATTAGATGGGGAGGCTCCAAGCCCAGCAGGACAGTCAGAGCTCAAAGTCAAGGAAAGGAGAACTCTACAGGGTTCAACTCTGAGTCACTGGGAAGGGTCTCTGCACAAGGAAGAGGATCCAGTTGTTCATATACACACATGCACACACATACACTGGCTGGCACATGGTCATTTCTGTTGGTGGTCATGGTTAGCCATCACCCTTGCATTACTCCAGACAAAAAGCAGGCTAACTTCCTCTCCACCTTACTCTGATGCGAGCAAAGGATGTTTTAAAGAAACACTACTGAGCAAAATATTTTATGAAGACAGATTCCTTTGTATTAGCAATCAGTCGAGTCAGTCCAAGGACAAGTTCAGGCACCCCTCCGCTGCTCAGGGGGTTAAAAAAAAAAAAAAAAAAAGAAACTCTCCAGCTTGGGAGGGGATAGGGAAAACAAGAAGGTGAAGAACACAATAAATCAAAAAGTGCTTCTAAGAAAAGCAGCAGGATAAAATCATTCCTACAGTCTGAGAGCACTTCCATGCTATTGACCAGAGAGGCAGCAATGGCCCCACACATGTAGATGTAATGCACATCTGCAAGCACCCTGCTCAGTGCCTGCGGAGACAGTTATCTCCTCCTGCCTTTATCTGTTCTGGGCAGTGTTTAATACAGGAGCCAGTTCCCAGGAGGAGTTCCCATCCCCTCATTCCTAGCATATTCCATTTTCCTTCAGCATCTTTCAGTAGTAGTCATCCCTCTTGCCATCAGCTCTCTGTATGCCTGCATGGTTCTTCTGGTCTTGGACAAGTTCCAGGTCATCATTGTCATCCACCTCACCTCCATGATCCTCCTGGGTGCAGAGGGAACAGAGCCAGGAAGGAAAAATCAGCAAGGTCTAGAAAAGGAGACCCTAACTAGCAGCGCACCGTGCTGCTTCCGAGTATAGCTGTTCTACCATACCGGCCCAGCTTGGGAAACTCAGGAAAACAGGGAAGAATCCATCTCTGCCAGGGACCTTTAGGTGTCACTGGCAAGTCACTTAGCCAAGACACAGAGGTAAGAAACCTGTGTTGCCATGATCAGCCTGTTCATTTTATGCCCATTTAATATCCTGGCATTACAATGCCATTTTAAGATCTCCGCCTGTTGCTACTACTACATGAATAGAAGAAGATATCCTACATCCACCACATTTAAAACTGTGTAACAAATCCCACCCATAACATGCAGCAGCCAGCACAGCCTGCATTGGCACTTTTAGGTCTGACTATCCAGTGTACAAGCCAGGTTCTACACACAGGGCAAGGATAGCTCCTGACATCAACTTTGTTCTGCCCACTCCTTATTTCCCCACTCCATTCCCAGCAGGCAGCCCAAACCCTCAATTCCTCAGAAATCATGTTGAAACTGCAGAAAAAGCCAGCAGCAGCCACTCACAAAGGGCAAGGAGAGGATGAACTAGACTGGAAGAGGATCCTTCATTTCTACCTATGTGAGCCAGAAGGCACCAGGTGATCCTGTCTAGTACTCATGCTCTCAATCTTTGGTGGCCTCCAATCTTTCTCCTAGAGGAATGCCAACTTGTCACTGACTACAGCAGTCCTAGGGCTCTGTGACACAGCAATAATACCCATTTTCAGCCAAACAGAGGAGCAGTTGCTTCCTGGCAACTGTGGCCCAAATGCACCACCTCCCACACTTCCTTCAGGAGTGGGACATCACATTCTTCTGCCACCCATACTTTTGTTCGACTTGCTGGCTGTAACCCAACAACCCTTCTCAAAGCACAGGTGAAGTTCTCCCCAGCTCTTCCACAGACACAGGCTAGACCCAGTAGGATCTGTGCAGCAGCAGACTACAGGGCTCCCCATGAATTTCTCACCACAGGAATAAACCCAGGGTGATGCTTGGAGAAACACATATTGATCTTGCCTAGCTGCACTGGCACAGCTTGTAATTCACCCCAGCTGCTGTTTGGTAAGCATCTCACAGCTCAACTGCTGCAGATTGATGCAGAAAGAAATGAGGAAGGGAGACAGAGCATAAAAGGTACTCTGAACACCAGAAAAAGAAAAGGGGAGCAGAGGTATGTGGGGTCTAGGTTTGTTCTGGAGATCCAACTCACTGAGCAGGCAGAGACAAAACTGAAGTCAGTGCTCACATCTGGTTTCCCAAAAGCTGAGTCATACTCAGGTCCCGCCTACCAACATACCCAGGTAACAATCACACCAGAGAGGAAAAGAGGAAGAACCTTGGTGTCGTACAATTTCTTGCTCCTGATCTTCTTGATAGTCATCCATTGGGTCTTCCCTGGGCTTGGCAGGTCTGCCAGCATCCTAAAAAATACAGAAAGTCAGACACTGTTGACAGTGCCCCATCCTACTTCCATTCCCAGCCAGGGATACAGCTCTCTTGCATTAGAACCCCAGGTCTGGAAGACTGGGCTACAGATTAGGAATCACACGTCAGCAGAGAGACCACGAGGCAACCCAGACTCCGTTTGTACTTTCCCCATCCAGTCTGTCTTCTCACCTGCTGGCAGCAACTGCCCAGCTCCTTCCACTGTGGGGAGAGAGGCCTCTCCTGCAGCAGGAGGGTCCCAGGGCCAGGACCCTTGCACATGCTTCTGTTGCATCAAGTTCCAGGGCCGCAGGGAATCTAAAAGTTACTTAGGGTGGAGCTTTAGGGAGCATAGCACAGCCCTATCTGAAACTCAGGTATTTATGTCACTAATTCTTTCCACATTTTCAGTAATCTTAAGGAGGTGTTGCTCTGTTGGTGCCAGCATCTCTTTCTTGTTTGATTTCATTGGCCTGGGTTTCTTTTTTTTTTTAAACCTCACTATTAATCATGATTTTAGAGCCCGACAGATAAAACACTCCTTTTTAAAACAAGCAACACTCAGCTGCTTGTCAAAACAAGCTAACATTTCCCTGATGCAGAGTCTGGCTTCAGACAGCAAGCAGCACTTTGCAAAATAAATGGATTCCATCTGCAAGCAGGCAAACAAAGAGGCAGAGTTCTCACGTGTTGTCACTGCTGCCAACAGCTTGTTGCATACCCACCCCAGGAACAGCAATGGCTGCACCGACCAGACCCCAAGCATAGCATATTATTGTCTCTGGTTTTGGTCTCTCAAGTGCTTGAAGGCACAGACCTCTGCAATAATAGCTGCGGAGCAAGCCCTCTCCTATAAAATGTCTCTCCAGCCACGTAGGTGCTGCAAATGCTAGGGATGACTTCAACAAGCAGAGAGGACAGGGCCAGAACAAGTTCTGGTACTGACCAACCCACCGATTCACACTCAAAGAGGTTTCTCCTGCCTGCCATATCCTTGCAGTGGGATATGGATCTATCCAGGAACATGATGTTTTGATTTGAGACCTTAAGCTCTCTGCCTCCCGCCATTCATAGCTGGGGATCTCTCCCTGGCCCCTGCTAGTTGCCCTCAAGTCAGTCACCTTCAGTGGCTTCTCTTTCGACTCTTCTTTTACGCTGGGCTCCTTGAACTTCTCCAAACCTCCCACCTTCTCTTCAAAGTCAGGTCTCTCCAGCTCAGCTTCCTCAAACTCATCCTCACCTTGGTTATTGGGATCCTGGGCAGGATCTGCAGCATCATCTGGCATCTGGACAAGAAAAGCCTCTTATGAATACCAGGCAGGATATCCCCTTGGGATACAGAAGGCTTGCTGCCTTCACCAGTAAGCAGGAGGTGCTGGCTTGTAGCACTTCAGCTGCACCTCTCTACAAGCATGTTAGTGGTTCTAAAAAATAAAAACCCCAGCCTTTGTTATCCCTCTGAATCCCTCCAGAACCAAGGAGTTTGGAGTTGCATGTTATAGAAACTTCTGGGAAAGCATTGACTTAAATGGGACAGCTGGACTCTTATTCAGAGCTAGGGTTAGCATCCAGATAACAGCATTACTTACCATTGGTTCCTGGGCAACAGTCTCTTTCTGAGAATGCAAATTCTCCTCTCTCTCAATCACTCCTGCATCTGCAAGGAAGAGGGACAGTTATCAGTGTACTCTCTCAAAAGTCAGTGTCACCAGGTCAGATTCCCACTTGTTGGGGAGCAGCTGTATTAACTCTATGCCAAGCAGGGATTTGTCTCGACACTGAAGTTTTTAGAGGAATGCTTCTTCAGTGCCGTTTGCAAGAGTTCAGGGCAAAGCAGCACTACGCTCCTACAGCTGCCCAAACTGCTTCCTTGTCCCCAAGGCTGGACCATAAGCATGTGTTGAAGCACGCCCATAACTTACTGAATGATACACATATGAATCAAAGACAAAAACCAGCTCTGAATTCAGGCCCTAATCTATATTAAGATGCATCTTTCCCTCACGCCACTGCTAAGTTTGGGCAGCATCTATAGCAGCAACCCAGCCATGCAGCCGGTCAGACCATCACCAGGAGCCAAACTAGACCACGGCAGGTCAGTACGTCGGTGCCACCTTCCCCTTCACTGGCACGCAGCTGCTGACAAGAACAAAAGGCAGGCTTCCTCTGCCAGGTAAAGGAGCGGTCAGGGCAGGAGGACAGTACTAATGAGACAAAAAAAATACAGCCTTTTAAAAATATAGCCTTTGCTTTCAACTAAGTAAAGTCCTAATCCTCACCCCGAATTGGATATGGCTCTGACATGTCCCAGCTCTGGCACTCACCACAGGCTGAGTGCTTCTCCTAAAAAACATTAAAGGAGCCTCTGAGACAGCAGTGTTCCCAACTGGACAGCAGCACAGCCAGGGCAGTCAAGTCATTACTTTGGTTGTTAATTCCAATTAGGACACAGAGGTCAAGGGCTATTGGTCCTCATGCTCTCTTATACCTGCAATGAGGCCTTTTCTTTTCAGGGTAGAATTCACTTTGATGTGAACCAATTAGTTCAGTTCCTCTAAGGGGACTTGCTGAAAATCAGGTCAGCAAAACATGAAATAGCAGCTAAACATAGCTGTGGGTAAGCACAGGAATACCAAACCTCCTCTCCAAGCGGGCATCTGTATGCACATTAGCTGTTAGGTACCTAATTGTTGCTGTTCTGGAAGGGAGGACTTACGTGCACAGAGTGAACAGAGCCAATAGCCTGGGAGGAAATCACCCATCTTGGGTGATTTCAGCCTTTTGATCCAAGATTCAGTTAGAACTACTGACCTTCATCTCTGCCCCATGACATCCCTCCTCTTTTCCAAATCCAGAGCCAAAACCTACTGTCAAGAAACCAGGCTGAGACTATCTTTATAACGTTTAAGAGGATGCAAGTCAGCATTTCAAATTAGATCCTCAGAGGAATCTCAGCTCCCAGCTTCCCTGCCTTAATGCATTCAAGACCGCAGCAAAAAATTAGCTACATGAAAAGCCACCTACTTAGTCACTCTACCTCAGACTAGCAACATACAGAATTAGCATTAGTCATATCTACATTTCAGTGTCTCTTTTTGACAAAGGTAACTAGCTAGCTTCCAGATCGTATGGGTTATTTCCACATGTGCAAGAGAAATTGATGGTAGAGTCTGTTTGCAGCAAAGAAATCTGTTTACAAAGTACTCACACTGTATATCCTGGCCTCTTGAGCACAGCAGAGGATCTCTGCACAGATTCTCAGACTCGACACCTCTACTCGAAAGCCCATTTTAGCTCTCCACCGCCTGACTGGCTTACTGCAATACATTTTTGATGTCGTCTTTATTTGCTTCCAGAGGAAGTTTGTAGCTTCCCTCTTACACTTGTAGACATACAGCTGCAATTAAATCAACCTTCCCTTTGTTACTGGACCTATGTAAGTGCTCCGGGCCCCCACCCACCCACTGTAATTTTCTGAAAGGTCTAGTCATTTTACAGCTGTTTTGTTTCACACAACAACTGATAAACCTCACCTGGAAAATGAGGCAAAGAAAAGATTCTGCCCTCATATGCGTAATCTAATGGATTATTCACTAGCTGGTTTCATGGTGTGATGATGAGCTTTACACTAAATCAAATGTTTCTCCCAACCAGTTATTAGCAGAGTGAGTCAATGCACAAGGGTCTGAACAGATCCAGATGAGAAGACTGAGGAATTCTAACACACTATTCTAAGAGCTGGCCTCTAATTGCCCAAATGCAGTTACTTACTAGACTTTCAAATGGCTGTAGGTGCTCTCTTGGCTGACTGACAAATACAACTAGCTGCCCTTGAATTTATTTGCTTTTAGCCCTTTAAGGACAGTTGGGAAATTTTCTGCTCTAAGTTAGAAATCCCACTTCTAAAAAAACTAAATTAATTCCTATGGGAGACTACGATCAAGTCTTTAAAAACACAGTGACATTTTCCCCATCACTCCCGTAGGAATGAAAGAAGAATTGACTTTACTTACACAGATTTTGAGTCCACTACCTTGGGAATGTGTGAGGATGCAGGACAACAGGGAACAAAAATGGAAAACTGTCCAGGCTTTTCATTTGACCAAGGACAATAAAAGCACAAGAATACTTAGAGTTGTAAGGTTTTCCTTTAACACAAGCAGAGAGCTTTTCTCACTCCCCACCTTGCTTAGCAACAAATTAGTACTGTACAGCATAGGATTAGGGAAACCATACCCATTTCGAGTTCCTCATCATCTGTCCTTTCCTTCTCGCCTTCCTGATCAGCTATTTGATGCTCTTCCCCTCTCTTCTGACTGGGTGGCTGTGGGCTGCCTTTCTGCATCTCTTGCCCAGGCTTGGGATCAAAACGAAGGCTCTTTGGGTAACCGTGCACTTGTTCTTCATCCATCTGGGCATTCACTTTGTTAACTATGTCTTTCCAGCTGCAACAAGGGTACAAAACAAAACAGAACCACCCCTGCTTCAGTATATCAAGAGATATTTCATAATGCTATTCCATAACAGCCAGCAGAGGGAAAAAAACTCCAACACACACAGAAGTTTGTCCTAATTTAATTTTTTGGCAAAACTAGCAGATTGCATTAGTTACTGTGATATCTGCTTGAAAGAACATTTAATATGCCACGTAACTACAAAGTAAGTTATGCTTTGTAAACACAATTTATTGTAGAACTGCTCTAATATTATTCATATGATACAGTAACATATCCACATAGCAATTAATTCCAATTCTAAATAGATACTTACTCATGCCTCACACATACCCAAATACACAAATCTAAGTTTTTGAAGAAATATCAGAAACATAAATCCTCTTTATTGTTCCAACTTAATTTAAAATGAACATGCTACTAAAGTAAAACTGTAGAATTTTTGCCTACAAGGAGAAAAAAAAAACTTTCAAAATAAACAGGAAAGCTGCAATACAAAGTTGACAGTTTCCGTTGTCTGATAATTTTTTTTTTAAAGCTACAAGCTCTTTACAAAGCTTTGCAACTGGGATGGATACTTTAACCAGCATCTGTTTATAAAACTCTTCCATAGCATGCATCTGTCCCTTGTACAAACCCAAACAGTGAAAATAGAACTAGTTGAAAGGAAACATTCGCATACTGTTTTGATTTTTTTTTTAGGTGAACATAGGAAAAAGTTTCATTTCTTCATTCAGTGAGGGAAGCCACATTCCATTATGATTTCCTGCTTTTCCTCCCCCCCCCCAAATGTTTTCATCCATCTACTGACCTGAAAAATCAATTTTCCTACACAGATCTATCTATGAGAGTTCAGGCAACCGTTTTCAGGCAGATCATAGTCAGGAATTCCTTCCTCTGTAATGGTTCCACCTCAGATACACTTCTGCTGATGTCTACACCAATATCTATGTCTACTTCCTTCTCAACAGAAGTGCCTCAGAGGGACAAATACTTGATATCAAGGTATATGCCAAATGCAACACATTTTTCATTGATGCTGCTCTGCCTGCTGCAGCAATAGCACAGCTCACGTGGATACTCAACTGGAGACTCAGCAGCAGAGTACTTAGTAGCGTAACACCATTCCACTGCATGGAAATTAATTGGAGGTCAGAGAAGAAATGGACTATCTTCAAATTAGTTTGAGTGAACCTCTGAAAAGCCCAGAAAGCAGGTCTGTCTCACAAGGAATGTTTTCTTCCCAAATATCCTTACTCAGGGACACCTTCAGAAACAAAGAAGGGTAAAGGAAGGAATAAAATCCCAATAATCCCAATAACAGGGACTCTCAAAAGCACTTGAAACAAACTTTTAATCTGAGTAAGCTACCACCAGTTTCAAGCAGGATCACTGCTTAGTTTAGCCTGTCCTGCTACATGAGCCAGCTGAGATTTAAAAGTCTACTTAAGACATTTAAGTTTTTAACTGCTGAGAAAGGACAAGTGGCCTTAGCTTTAGCAGCTTTTTAATGCCAGCATACTACCACCACACAAAACTTTCAGTACAAAAAATCATAACCCAGCCTTCAGCTCAGATTTCCCCATTATAAAACCATCAAAATGTAAATTGGCCATCAAGAGCTCATCTGGAATCTGCTGGTCTCAGCCACCCAATGCAACAGTTCTTGGCATTGGATGCGTGGCCTCTTTTGTACTCTACTGCGGCATGATATTGTTCTTGGCATTGACACCTTCTGGAGAAAGTTGGTTTATGCACTCCTTATCACAAATCTCATGCAGTGTAAATAACAGCCTCCAGCTGCTCAGTAATTCTCGATGATAGATCCAGAAAAAGAAAAGCACACCAAACATACCATGATCTCTGTCCTTTCAGAAGGCATTTGCCAAAGAAATCCACTATTTGCATTTTCTATTTGAGTCGTGACAGTACCCTCACTAGGCTCTACGTAGCTGAGGAAAGGTCATTCTGCCATCAAAACTTCAACCCTCACCTTCAGTTACACCCATACAAGTTCCTCCCTGTAAAAAGGCAGAATATCCTCTGTGCTGTTACTGTGTGTGTCCACGTAGATGTTACCTATCAAAGCCGTATTGGGAGGACATTGCCCTTTAAAGAATTATGCAAAGCACAATCTCTGACCTGGGAAGATTACACGTTAAGTGAAGGAACAAAAATGGCAGAGAAGAATGGGTAGGATCAGACTGAATTCAGATTGAAATCCGGAAGTCTCCTCTACAGATAAAACAGAAGTTAAATCTTGTTTGATCCAGTAAACTGAGCAGGTATGACCTGGACACACACAGGAGATAAGTAAGTTAAATGAGGAAGCTCTATTTTCAGAGTCAGTTTTTGGATTATGGCCAGACTTTGATGAATTGCAGTCTCATTTTCTTCCTTTTACAAAACAGACTAGTCTTCTGTGAATGCTGCTGAGACTGTAAATAGTTTTTCCTGTGCCTGTACAGCATCCAGGACAACAGGATCTTGGTCCCTGACTACACTCCCAGGTACTACAGCAATACAAATAACATACTGTAGGAATTATCCATTCTGTTACCGGCATGGAATGGGTAGGTTCATGCCATTCTCTGAACCTCTGCCCTTTTCAAGACACTCCCCTCCCCAGAGCTCCCCTCTCCCATTTACCCCAAGAACAGGTCTGGAGAACACATTGTGCTGAGGATGTCCGATATGAGCAACAGATCCAAGTTACAGGGAATTTTAATACCAAGGTTTCAGCTAAGCTCATAAGATTGTACCAGTTCCAGGTCTTTTATTATAAAACCTGACCCTTTTATTGATATGGCTGAATTGGTTTGACTTCTCCACATGAAGCTGAAGTTGATATAAACTACATCATCTCAAGTGCAGGTATGCAGGAACATAGACAGGACAAAAGCCTGGGCTGTTTGATGGATTCTGGTTGTGTCCTCATTTCTGGCATAAACTATCGCTGTAAACTGTTTTACCCCTTTCTGGATAAACCCCATAGTTTTGGGATCACAGGGCTCAGACCTGTCTGACTTCTCACTTTCTAATCAGGCTCTGTGAAGGAAAATCCCCAGTGTACCTCAGAAGTGCACTGGCAAGAGGCACGCAAGCTCCATTCCCTGGGAGGAAAGAAAACACGGACGAGACAATACAGAGAAGCAAAACCAGAAAAAACTGTAGTACCTAATTAGGGCTGGTTGCCTGCTACTTCTAGATTACCATACGACCTTGGAGATGAGAAGCTTTCAGATCTTCAAGGTCTGGTTGTTCCTGCAGAGCTTGGCAGATTATTTAGTGGAAAAAATGAGCAAGTTGCAGCTCTAATATACAACTTAAAGCCTCTTATTTATAGAAACTGAAGGAATTTTTAGCCACCCTTGCTGCTGCAGATGGGTTGCTTCCATCATGCAGAATTTCTTCAGTTTGCTAAACAAAACAGGATATTGAAGTCACCACCACTGAAAGGGAGATTTCTTGAAGTCTGAACTAACTCCCCCATTCCACCCTCTCCTCTAGCTAGTAGGAAATCTGCGCTGACCTGATCTCACTCAGCAGTAACTCCTCTTTCTCTCTCCTCCCCACACAAACACTTCACCAAACAGTTCAAACAGAAAGGCAGCCTACAGAGCATGCACCAATAACAGCCTGTTTTTTTTCTTTTTGCCAGCACAGCACCCACAGTAGTCTGTGCATTCAGTCACGCAACATTGCCTGCAACATGACTAGTCTTCTGCTTCGGCTGAGATGGAGACCTGGCAAGAACATTCAGTTACAAGAATTAGATGACATTGGAACAAATAACTAACACTTTCTTCAACCATCTTGCAAGTAGAAACCACAATAAACACAAAAAGAAAGAGACCAGGGATGAGCCTGTATGCTACGTTTCAGCCTCAACATTGAGAGGAGAAGGGAGTTTTGTTCCACCAACCTTTGCATTTGCACTTGTTTGCTCCCTGTAGAGTGGTGGTTTTCTGGCAGCTGAGGTTTTTCTGCTGCAGAGGGTTGTTTCAGATCAGACAGTGACAATCCAGGAGCCTGGCTTTCCTCATTGCTTTTCACCTGAATACGCATCACCATCTTCAGATCCTGCAGAGAAGACACATGCATACGCTTGGGATATACACAAGCTCCTAATCTCATCAGATACCTGCAGATGTCCTTTGAATTTGGGCAGGTTTATGGGCCAGACAAATCCTTTACCAAAAAACAAATTCAGCAGTGCTCCAGAACAAATCTACAGTTCTCTCCAGACAGCCTGCAGTAAGAGAGGTTCTTCTCTTTCCACACAGCCAAGAGGAAATAATTTGGATCCTATGTGACCCAAGCTTGTCTTGGGTAGGTGAATCTCCAAGAAAAGAGGAAAAACAAAACCACCTCTAAAAAAACCCTCCACACATTGCCATTGTAATAGTTACTGTAATTATAGTCTAACCACACTGCAATTATTGTCATTTTTCTAGAGATGTGCTTTCCATAGCTCATTCTTAATCACACCAGGAGGCAGGGGAGCTGCTTTTATGATTTACTGTTTGCAGATCTGGCAGGATCCAGAACAAGAACCCTAGCCTGTTAGTCTGAGCCCAGCCACTAAACCACAAACTCTTAAAGAGTGCACAGGAGTCTGAAACCTAGGGCCAGGACAGTCTCCACATCAGGGAAGTGGAATGCACATATGCATGTCATTACAAATATCATAGTTTTGAGCTTCAAAAGCACGGGCTACACAAAACGAGCAGCGAGTGTGCAGAACTTACTGGGTTCCCATTTGGTAGACTGTTCATGGTCCGGGTGAATCGGATCACGTGGCCATCCTCGCGTCTTGCTGGCCAGGCTGGCATAGCATCTGGCAGCGAATTGGCATCTTGCGGTGGGACTGGATGGGTAAAGAGCACATTAGCCTGTGGCCTCGGGCCGTCGTTACTGTACAAGTTCTGGCCCTGCAGCAGAGGGCCGTCTGCCTGCTTCTGAACCCCAGAGACTTGTGATGCCAGCGGGTTCCCAACAGGGCGATTCTCCTGATTGACTGGAAAAACCTGCGAGGAAGAAAGGACAACAGCAAACTCTAAAGGAACAAGCTCAGTTCCCTCCAGTTCAAAGCCCCATGCTGAAAACCCACAGAAGCCCTGCAGAACTCTCTTCCCTGGGGTTTTCTGGGAGTACCACACCTTCTGCCGTGCGAGCTGCAACTGGCTGTTGGCTGGCACCATGGGCTGCTCCTTCGGCACCTGAAACTGCTGCTGCCCCTTCCCAGCTCCTCCTGCTCCTCCTTTGAAACTTGGCATCTTCTGTAGAGCTTCCTTGAGCTGCCTGAACTCTTCCATCTGGGCCTGAGGGGATGAGAAGGGTACAGAGAAGCCTCACACAATAACAGGGCTAAACAACTCCTTGCTGAGAATAGCCACTCTTTTGTGGCCGGTTGTTCAGCACAGATACACTACTAAAGCTATTTTATATATATGAAAGGCAGGAGATAATCCACAACCATTAACGACAAGCCCAAGCTAGTCTTCAGGTTTCCCTCCAGATTTCATGGACATTCTGTATTCCCCCTTTGCCATTCTTGCATCTTATTTTATTGCATACTTTTACCCTGGAAGTGCTGACCCATGACACCAATTCTTTGCCCAATGTTATTTAGTGCATGAGCCATTGACATAACTTTGCACAAGAATTGCATCCTGGGTCTCGTTAGGTGTGACTCCCTCTCCTCCTGTGCCTCACACACATGTACCTTCAGGTCAGCTTTTTTTTTTTATTCTTGTGGAGGCATTTCTCCTCCTGAGGATGCGCTCATCTCAGCAGGGCTGACAATAATTGGCATGATCCTACTTGACAATCCAATTTACTTTGCAAGACAAATGAAAATTGATTCTCCTGGACTGTTACGCAAATGCGACACTTTTCTCTCTGCTGCAGCTTATTTCTTCCATCTCCAACCCTGAAAAGTAGGGCTTGAAAAACTACTCAGGAAAAGCTCCCCACTCCTACCCCAGTTATTTATAGGAAAGTGAGGGGGGAAGAGCTTTTCATATGCTTGCCAGGGTAACTGGAAGTGGACCAAATTAGGGACTGGACAGAGTAGGAAAGCTTCCAAGCAGCAAGGCAAGTTTAACAGGAAATTAATTCCTGAGCAGGCTCTGTTGATTTCAGTTCTTCCCCCTGAAATTTGACCTTAAAATTACATTAAAAAAACAAAACGCAATAAAACCACTCAGCAAAGCTAACATAAAAGGAATGAGGAAAGGAAAAGGAAGCCAAGAATAGTTCATGGGATATAGCTCTAGCTAGTAAGAGACTGCTTCCAGTCAGAACAAGCCAGATGGAAGCAAAACTTGTACCCATCAAAAGCCTGTTAAGGTGGTCAGCCCAGAGGGAAAGAAGCTTTAGACTAGCCTTAATGCACAAATTCCCACACGCTGTTTGCACCCCATCACAGCAAGCTGTGCATACATCACTTGATGCCACCGTGCCCCATTTTACGTGGCAGACCAACTGATACGACAGCCACTGCAGGCTGCGCTTGTGAAATCCTTGGAAAATGAACATGTTGTCCAGAATGCAAATTACTCGTCTAAACTTCAACAACAGGATACTCAGTGCAGATCGACACTGCAATGACGAACTGCAGCGCTGATAAAGAAGGTGGGAGCCCTTGTGGGTGTCTCCTCTAACATATGGCATCTCGCCTCACTGACGGCAAATGCAATTCCATTCACCTTTGTGTTATGAAACACTGATTAGACGCTACAAAGGACTGATCAGAAAACTGAACAGAAAACCAAGATTTAACACTAGGCTCATTGTCACAAAGGTCCAAAGTATTTTGTGAAGTCATTGGAACGAACCACTGCCACTTCTGTAAGAGCCAGAAATAGCAGTCGGACAGATGGTTGGAGCACAACTTTCTTATATGACTGTCTAGTACATTCAGAGCAGGGAGCTGAGCCGTGTCTTCCACATCCAGGGCAAATCCTTTTACTCTTGCTCTCTCTTAATTTTTGCAAGAAACAGCTCGCTGTCATTTCTTGCCAACTACTTTTCCCGTTGGTCACAACACTGAAGGGGCCAAAAGTTAAGACTGGCTGCACAAAAACTGCCACCGTGTTTTCCAGTCTGCAAGTGCTTGACTTTGTAGCCTCAGCCATCTCTAGCCAAGTTTTTTTTTTAAATTCAGAGTATGTGCTAGTTTGCACACTTGAACTGCTGATTGCTTTCTCTAATGCATCACAGTTAGTCGAATAGCATTTTAAGGGTACTCTGCTGAAGAGTAATTCAGGCCTGGTCCCACATGGCGTGCCAGATGCAAACGCACTCAGCGTTGATCCAGCAAGACGAAAGTAGAAATATGTAACAACAAGCAGAGGACCTTTGCTCAACTGATATTGACCCAAGCTGTCAATGGCAGAGGCCTGTATGAGATGGGAGCTGACTGGATCTCTTATGTTGCTTGAGAACAAGCTACAGAGCAGTGACATTGGCAGCTACTTTAAAAGTTTGGTCAGGAGGCCTAAAAATGAAGGCTGAGATCCATTTTGATAGCAGGAGGTGTGAATGTAGGCTTGCCAGGGGCACTCGAGAAGCTTGTAATCACACGCTGTTTCAATTTCTTGGTATGGGCTTGCTGGACTGACCCCTATGGAGACTAGAAGTCTTTGTTTAGTTTCCAGCAAGTACAGTGCGGGCAGTATCACTGCAGGCAGTATCACTGCAGAGAATCCTACCAGTCTGCCTTAGCCACGTGGAGGAGCAGAGTAAAAAAGCCACTCAGTGGTAAGTCACGATTATGAAGGCAGGCAAGTCAAATACACTGACTGTCCACCTGAGACCCCTCAAACCACATCTGACATGAGCCAAAGAGCTGTGAAATGACAGCTGCCTGCAATGTCAGTAACCTGGGCTTCCTGCCTGGAGCAACCAGTTATCTGTGAAGTTTGCAATGCCCTAGAGCTACTTGGTGCCTGCTATTTTGCAGGGCAGATCAGGTCAGAACTTAAGAGCAATCCCATAGAAGTCAAAACCCACTACCTGCCCCCCCCCC